TATTTTTATTTTTTAAATTCAAGCTCAAGATCAAACTTAAGATTCTTCGTAAAATTAACTTAACACTCAATTCGATTAGATCAAAACTTGACTCTTCAACTCGTTTACACGTCTAACTACATGTAACATCCAAACACCTTTTTTTCAATTTTGAATGTTTTTTGAAATGTTACTTTATTTATTTTTTTTAATTTTCGAAATAGGGGGCCGCACGTACTACATGTAGTCCTATATTGCAAAAGAGCCCTCCAAGAGGCCCTCAATAAAAAAAAGGAAGAAAGAATAAAATAGGGGGCTGTATCATACAACTTGTATGTACTGCACACGGCCCCTTAAAAAAATTAAAAATTTAGGGGGCCACACTTGGTTTTAACTTATCCATTCACAATAATTTTTAACTCAAGTTCGGTGTTTTCCACATTTTGTTTTGTTGACTCCACGTTAATGTATGTACTTTGCGTAATAAAGACTTGATTCCACGTTAATGTACGTACGCAAAACAGTTGATTCATATTAGTTTTCCACATGTTTTTGATTGATTCCACGTGGATGTACGTACGTAATTAGTTGCGGCAGCCGCCTATTTATTTTAATACTAATAAGGCCTGAGTGTGTGTGCCCACTCTAATTAAAGTATTTAAGGGTAACAAAATTTGAAGGATTATTTATGAGTTGAGCGTTATGTGTAAATATATTATAAAGAGTATCTTGATGCATTGTTTTGGTTAATAAAGGGAAAAAATTAGTTGTAAGAAAAAGCAAGTTTTAACTCATAAATAAAATAAAATAGATAGGAAAAGGGTATATTATGTTTGGTGGTAATTCCAGTTAATTTTATACAGGTTTAACTGATGCTAAATATTTTAAGATAATTTAAAATGTTGTTAAATATTAATGTATTAATAAATAAAAGTGAAAGAGAAGAATGTACAGTGCGTTTGGCAGCAATAATAATCTTTATCTTTGTTATAAGCTGGATTCAATTTTAAATGTTTTTTCTGTCTTTGAAATTACATCCCTTTTATTTATATGCAATAATATAAATTTGAAATAATTTAATAGACTTTTCAAATTGTAAATTTTGGAGAAATATAATTCAATTGGAGTACCATTTATGTGATCATTTCAAGTTATATTTGACAAATTAACTTAAATTTTAATCAGATTACAACGTTATTATCATCATCATCATTATTATTATTATTATTATTATTTGAATTTATATTTATTTCAAGTTATATACAGTTTGAAAAGTCTACTAAAAATATTTCAACCTTACAACCATAGGTAGAGGACTTTATTTCCTTAGTTAATATTATAAAAAAAAATACCAAATTCATAAAAAAAAACAAAAAAGAAAGCTCAAATTTCACTCAGAGTGTTACGTGTCAGCAAGGGAAGTTGCTACAATAACTTTGGGTCTTTGCTTCTTTTATAGTAAGATATTGCAAAGCATATTTACTGTCCTTCAAAATATATTGTATCAAAACTTGGTCACTTCCTTTTTTTTTTGGGAAAAAGGGGAAGAAAAAAAAAGAAAATGATGGATCTTGAAAATTGATGCCGTGCAGCATTATCACACTTCTTGCTAGACATAGACGTGTCTTTTGTCAATGTGCAGGAATCTGAGAAATCGTTGATGCCGTGTAGCATTTTTCACACTTGCAAGTGACAACTTGGATCCATATCCAACTATCCATCCAATTAATCCAAGTTTTAATGAATTTAGATGAGTCAAAAACTTTTTTAGTGATTTTAAACGGATAACCATTTAAATTCACCTAACCTTATCGGATCAAATAGATTATTCATGTCACCCCGTATAAAGTCAATAATCCAAAGAACAGACCCGGGACTAAATAAAACAGAAGCTGCATGTGGAAAAATGATATGGATCACGTGGTTGAGAAAGACTAAGGGTCTGTTTGTTTGGAAGGAAAATATTTTCCGGAAAATGTTTTCCTGATTTTCTATTGTTTGGTTGGGTTATTGCTTTGGGAAAAATTTTTTCCTACCGAAAATATTTTACATCAGATGGTGTAAAATGACTTCCCATCTAAATGAACTGAAGTTATTTTCCATGTCCAGGTGTAAGTCATAAGACTATCCATTCATGCTTCTCCACTAACCTTAAGATTCAGAACAAAACTCACCACTTGTGCAATCGCCCACTAAAGATTTGTAGTCTCCATCTACTCCCAAACATTAGAAAAAACATAGAAAAGGTAATTATTTTCCTCGATAAAAGACATTTTCTGTTGAAAATATTTTGCATTGAATCAAACGGACCCTAAAGATATTTACTTACTCGGACGACAATATATGAAATAGTTACGCAGGAGTATGATATATATCACCTATTTTTCATCATCGATCTATCACGTCCTACGTGGATATGATATGCTATATGTCAATAATTTATTTATAAAATTGAATGTGTGTGGACTTTTTATTTTAGGAAATTTTGTATTTGAATAATTTTCAATTTTTATGGAGTTTCTTAATACAACTATGGAAAGCGTTTTGAAAGGAAAATTTCTACTCCAATTATGCTTTTGACTTTACGTTTATTAATTCAATCCTCCCTACCACCCCACCTTCTTCTTCCATGAATTCATGTAGACTTCATTAGCACTTTTAGTTACAAATTTTCCAAGCTCCTTGGTCATTAGTTCATTTAATCCTTATTTAATTGTACATATTCGTCGACTACTTGGTTCCATTTGGTCCTTGGCGGAAAGCAAAAGTGGATTAGCTCTAGAATATACTATCTTTAATTAATTAACAACAATGATCAGTCAAGATAGAAACATTCCAAATTGACAACCAGTTAATAGTTTCGAAACTTACAACCATACTTGATTTTGTATATGAATTATTTAAGGTAAGCTTGGAAAGAATAATTAAGTATTATAAATTTAATTAAGGGCTTTTCTAATGGGTGCCCTTAGAGCACTCATTAGCAGCTTAACATTTATCTGACTTACCATGTACATATATATACTAATAATTATTATCCTACCTTGCATTTATATATTTTTCTTATTGAATCTTACCTATCTTCTCTTGTATTTATTTACTTTACCTAATTAATCTTCTATTTTCAAAAATATAACATGTAAAATATATTTTAACAAACCTTTTTATTAGTTTGATATATATATATATATATATATATATATATATATATATATATATATATATATATTACAAATACTTACTGCCATGCCATTGCTCCTTTAAGATGGAAAAGGAAACCTTGTCACACGTCATCACTCCACGTAGGTGATGATAAATTGCTAATGAGTATATTGGTGATATATATATATATATCATTAATCTACTCTCATAGGCTAGGTATACAAGACTATATTAAATAGTTACTCTTATCGATCATGTCTACAACGGATCAGAGGCTTTTGCTATTACTGGTGATGACAGCATTAAGTCAGTAACATAACTAATGTAAACATTAACATAATAATCGTATATACCAATATAATAAGATAAAAAAAAAAAAGTACAACAAATTTTTTGATACATTGAAATTGGTATCCTGTATTTAATCTTTACCATCTAATTTCACGCCTTCAAATTTACTCTGCTAATTACTATTGTAACAGTAGAAGACCCCAGTCCTTTCATAACATTACTTGCCAGAGTTAGCTCTGTACAGAATCCAGTGAATTGATCAGGAAATTTGTTAAATTATACAAAAGCAAATGAGGTATATCTACATTAAATTGTTCTACAATACCACCTAGCGTAATTGAAACAATCTTAGATTAAATTAAAGAAGATTATACAAATGTTATCGTTGCGAAAAAAAATATGTAATTGAAACAACCTTACAATCTGGCATACTTGTTCTAACATTTTATCTTGTTCGTTTAGAATAGCAAAAGTTTTGTCCATGGAGCATATCAACATTGGGCTTTGAACTTTTACTAAAATATCTAGTTTGTTAGGATAGGAGATTATTTGAAGAGAAAATGTTGGAATGATATTGTAGTTTTCTCAGTGACGTGATATATATGAGATATAAATGTGACTAGTAAGATAAAAATGTGATTTAAAAACTATTTTTGATGCAATGAAAAAAATTGCAAATAAAAACCTATCCAACAACAAAATAATACTCAAGTTTCTGCCGCAAAGAGGCAGGCCCAAACATTGGGAACCTTCAGCCTAGGGTTCCTGTATTGGTGAATATTATCAAGCGTGACATCCCATATTTTTCTGCTTCAACATATTCAGTTCATACGTTTTAGATCTGGTAACCTTTAGGCCAAGTTTCGTGTTTGAAGGGGGTAAAAAACCAAAAAACAAGAACGTCTAGTGTCAATTCATCTTAGATGCACATTGTAGCAAGTTTAACTGCATTAATGTGCCTGATTAAACGAGAGATGTAAATGTTCTTTCACAACAGCTGCAAAAGCCATTAATTGGTAATGTTTGATAAAGAAAAGTAAATGTACAAAACAGGATATGTGTCAATTTGCAGTGAAATAATCAATTCAAATTACAGGAAAAAAAATAGTTGCTGTGAAAATCAAAACTAGAAATGATTCTGTATAAACCCTGATCAATGGAGTCGCAGTCTTCTTGCCCATCCCCTCTAAACCCCGGGCACACAATAATGTTCTTCTTGACAATTTTTCTTTAGGGACTGCCGCCGGCGGAGTAACAGTTAATTGTTCCGGTTTCAATGTAATTGTGCACCTAATTTTGGACTTTTTGTGTCTAAACGTATATTAACTACAAAAACTGACTAATGATCTCAGGCTATGCAAGAACTGACTATGAACAGCTACAAATCAAGGACGCCAAATATATGAACTACGGGCAAGCAGATAACTGACCTACAATATGCATAGAAACATAAGAGTTCCAGATAACAGTATGAGCAATTTCAAAGACCTAGTCAATAACAATTAGAAACATACTAGGAGGAGAACGCCGCGCATGCGCGAATGTAATGATGCCCAGTAATGCCCAGCTGAGTAATTAATTTTTTAATATTAATTAATTCAAAAAAGAAGTAATGTATTAAGGATCGCGGGCCAGTGGCTGCATAGTTTAGCTAAGTAGAAGCGAAAATTACCGGTAATGTATTTAACTCGTAGGTATATTACACAGCATGGTCAGCTAAATTCGTTAAGCATGTGAATAAATATTAAATGTGTGATACCAAGGAAAAACCTTTTCAACTCCGGTATCGTCGAAGATCAAGGCTGTAAATATGTTTTCAGATTCTGGAACAAAGACAAGAGTTTCGTTGTGCTGCAGTTGATGCTCAAGAATGAAATCTCTCCAGTTTTGGTGAAGGCGTTCATGTTTTACACCTATCTGAGTACTTTTGTTTCCAGTATTGATAAGTAACATGGGAGTCTTGGAACCATTGATGAAGTGATCAATAAAGCGTGGAATTTTCTGTCATGAAGAGGTGCAGATCAGAAGATATGCAGAAACAAAAGGAAATTGCTTCCAAGAAAGTTGAGACGACAAAGAGAATGCAGGTAAACATGGAATAGCTTACCAAACTGTTTGGAGTTGCAGAGTTAAATACTTGATAAAAGCAAATCGAATCAGATAGATCCTGGCAGAAATTTGGTCTCAGCGAAGAAGCAACTTGCAGTTGTCTAGTAGGTGTATGGATATCATCTGCAATTAGTGATTATGTGTTAAATTAAAAGTTATATATGATATGGATGAGGATATGAGATAGACACAGTGATATTTTGACCTCGTGATGCAACGACATTCATGTGCAACAGGTCTGGTAGGGAACTGTCCAGGGCAATAAAACTTGTTTTTGTAGTTCACAAAAGTGAATGACATCAAATATCAGATTCCCGCTATGTCGAAGCAACAACGTGTCATGTCTTTTAACAATGTTGTGTTCACAAAAAGCATCCCACCCTTCTTCGAATGAATGATCAGTAACTGTGATAGTCCATTGCCGCAGTCCAACCCTTAGAATGATTCTATTGCAATGATGCTGATGAAGCAACAATTCAAACTGAGTAGGTAATACCTTGGAAAAATGAGGCAGGAAAATAACGTCAAAGAATACCATGCTATTCAACTCTAAATGCTGCAATATAGCGAACATGAACTAAAAGTTAACCTGTCCTCTGTGGATGCATTTGAGTAGAAAACAGCATGCTGGTAAAGAGCTAATTGTCAGATGAAAATTCGTTGGAGATACAGACATTGTTTCTGCCATTGATCTATTAGGAGGAAAGTTGAAGAATTGAAAAATCAGAAAAGTGGCTTGTTAATAGAAATTACAATCACAAGTAAAAAACCAAAAACAAGAACGTCTAGTGTCAATTCATCTTAGATGCACATTGTAGCAAGTTTAACTGCATTAATGTGCCTGATTAAATGAGAGATGTAAATGTTCTTTCACAACAGCTGCAAAAGCGATTAATTGGTAATGTTTGATAAAGAAAAGTAAATGTACAAAACAGGATATGTGTCAATTTGCAGTGAAATAATCAATTCAAATTACAGGAAAAAAAATAGTTGCTGTGAAAATCAAAACTAGAAATGATTCTGTATAAACCCTGATCAATGGAGTCGCAGTCTTCTTGCCCATCCCCTCTAAATTCCTCGGGCACACAATGTTCTTCTTGCCAATTTTTCTTTAGGGACTGCCGGCGGGAGTAACAGTTAATTGTTCTGGTTTCAATGTAATTGTGCACCTAATTTTGGACTTTTGTGTCTAAACGTATATTAACTACAAAAACTGACTAACGATCTCAGGCTATGCAAGAACTGACTATGAACAGCTACAAATCAAGGACGCCAAATATATGAACTACGGGCAAGCAGATAACTGACCTACAATATACATAGAAACATAAGAGTTCCAGATAAAAGTATGAGCAATTTCAAAGACCTAGTCAATAACAATTAGAAACATAAGAGTTCCAGATTGCATGCACCAGATATACTCAAGGTGTGGACGTATATTCTTCCCGTTTAAACACAAAAAAAAAAAAAAAAAAATCTTGACTGGTTATAATGAAATAAATAAGCAATTCAATAACCCACCAAAAACAAGTAGGCACTTAAACTGACAATCTAAGATCCTGATGCATGCACACATAGAAGCATACCAGAACTAGAAGACAAAGTAGAAGCCATGTGAAAACTAGAAACTTTTGCATTGTATGAAAGTCAGATGTAGGCCACATTCACCAAAATGTTAGTTTGCACAAAAATGAAGGCTTTAAAATTTAGCTAATAAACCTCCCATCACAAATATCCTAAGCAAAACTAGTCAAGTGACCTACTTCTTGCCAGCCTTCTTCTTTGAGCTAGTATTAGCAGACACTGGTTTGGGATGCTTCTCAGCTTCACTTGGGTCCAACCATTTGAGGGGATGACGATTGAGAAAAGGCCAATTGGGAACAGTAATGAGAGAAGTCAATAGAACGCCAGCAGCATATATCAGCAGCATTATCTGAAATGAGCCCAAAACATAGCCTGAAATAAATGCCACCACAGCAGAGCTCACCAGCATTATCTGCATGAGCTGCTCTGCTAGCTTCTGCCCTTGCCAATCCATCTATCAATAGATAGCATAAGACGTCTATCACACAAAAAAATAAATAACATTAAGAACGAGGATAGGAACTGGAGATAGATGACAACACATCCAAGAACGAAGTACACTAAGGCTGTGTGTGGTTCCCTGTCAAAATTGTTATTTTATCCAACAGAAATGTAGCTCAATTCCTTGGGACACAAATGCTATTCTAGCAGAGAACCACACGAGGCTTAAAGGTAAAATCCCATCTAATTACTGCCCTAAAACAATTCGTTCATTCGAGGTTGGAAGTCAAATAAGTGGAATGCTTGCTCCAAAATGGGGAAATTTTCCACGTATCCGAGGTAATTGCAAACAAGAAACAGAAATTAAAGGAAAAAACACCAAATTTCTACTCAAATTCCTTCCACAATTCTCAGAAGTAGAGTGCTCTTCACTTTACAAAATTGTAACACAAAAAATCGTGAATTGGACTGAGCATATAGAATTAAGAAGAGCGAAAAAAAGTGCCAAGAATTCTACACAGATATGATAAATAGAAAGAAGCACATAAACATGTATTGACATATAGAGATAAATTGGGATCACATCAAAATTCAGATTGGCCCCCAATAGAGGGCGCCTAGCATACACACACACATAATGAATCCGGAGACTGGGATCAAAATGGTAAAAGAATATCTTCATCTTGCACAGATTTTACATTATAAATTATGTACTGTTCCAAGGAAAAAAAAGGCAAACAACTCTAGTAAGGTAAGAACTCTAATACTACAAGAACTAAGATTCACATCTCTAGGCCCCAAACAAAAGCAACGACAAAGCAGAAATAAAAGTTGTAGTAAAAGGAACATAAAGCATAATAGTGGATCCAGCAGAATTAGTTACAACTTTCAAGTACCCACTAGAAATTATTAACCATTCTCACCAGTATTCATTGAAAAACAAAATCAACGATACCTCCCTCTCCCAGGAACCTTTGAAGGCAACTAATGTTCACCAAGGATTGGAAAAGCTCATATGTCAGACTGGTTAGCAAGATGGATATATAAAAATGTTGGAAAGATGATTGTTGAAGGTTTTCAACAAGATAATGAAATAACAACTGCCCATCTTCCCAAAAAAAAAATATATATATATTGCAGAGAACTCTTTCGAGCAAAGTGCAATGACAAATTAGCACAATGTCAATACACACAATCCCTGCTTTCTATAACCATGAGATGTGGATACTAAAATCCCAACCCACATCGATGTGAATCATAAAAGTATGTTAGGTTGAAAGGTATGAAGACTTGTCATTTACTAAACAATTATCTTCCCCACATGCCAAGGGACAGAAAGCTCCCATTCTGCCAGCTTTTCTTTACTTCAAAATTGAGGGCGGTAAATAAGGTTGCAACAGTTATATCAATTTAAGAAATTAATACTAAAACATCCATGACAGACAAGCTAGTCTGAAGCCAACAAAATCCATTAGAAAACACAAGTTTTCCTTGGTTTGTTCTAATAATTAGAGCAAGACAACTATATAATCAAAATGTATCATCGTTTACTGAACCGTGGATCATGAAGTTCAGGAGGTTCACCCACTAACAACGCCAAGTTTTGTTCCCCCTGAAGTTTACGAGAGACCCGTTCACATTAAACGGCAAAAGGCCCCTGCTTTTTTCATCAGGTTACACTACCGACAAGTCCAGTCAAAAACTTAAATAGCCAAAAAAAAACATACATTTAGAGCAGAAAAAGAACTAAATGGCCATCAAAAAAGAAGATCAAAGCATCCATTTGTTTAAGTGATAAGAAAGAGAGAAATCATGCCTTGAAATGAACACGGAGATGAGATCCCCTAGCTTTGCAGGCTGCATTTTAAAAAGTTTTAACAAAATTAGCACAAAATCCCTAAAAAATCGATGATAAAAAATTTTGAAACAAATCTAAGAATGAAAAAACAAATAAAAATCTAGTTTAAAACCCAAAAAAAAAGAGGGAGGAAAAGAGCAATTACACTTGGTAGGGTTATCGGCTCGCTTTAGTACTTCACCTGAAAAAAGCCCCCCCCCCCCCCCCCCCCCCCCCCCCCCCCCCCCCCCCCCCCAAAATACCAAAAGGCTGTTATAATTAGAGCATTTTGACATGAAAAATCAAAACCAAAGACGAAACTGATAATTACGCAAATTATTATTAGGACTAAAGCAGGAAGAAGCTGAGAGGAGGAGAGAGGCGAACCATCTTTTTCAGCGTGGGTGAAACGCATCGGAACACACCTTGTTTTCAGCAGAAAGTCTTGTGGGGCTGTGCAGCACCGGTTCTAAGGCTACGTCGGCCCAAAGATTTTTTTACAAAATTCCGGTGTATAATAGAGCATGTTAACGCAGCATTGTGGACTGAACAAAGTCTTGTCTCATGGCATAAACCTCACAGGCGAAGTACATATGGGCTGGAAAAGGGGCGACCGGAAGCCGAAACTAATCGAAATGGGCAATTGCCGCCAAGGAGTCACTTTTTTTTTTTTTTTTTTTGAACAAGACTTATTGCGTTTGCATTTATTATTTGGACTAATCTTTTTATACTAATAGTATAACTTTTGCATATATGTCATAAATTCAATAACAGTAATATTATATACAACGTGTCCTTGTAGATATACTCTAATTGTTTTGTGAAGTTTTAAGCACTAGTTCCAAATACAATTTCTGAATCCCTTCTAGTTTTTGATTGAGGTTATCAGTAGATTTGTATTTTTGTTATTAATTTTATAGTTATTTCTTCCTTTTTATTTTACAAATATTAGGCTATTTGGTAGATTTTACTTATTTTTTATAATTGGTGTTGGTGGTAGGGATTTAGAGCAAAAAAGAATTAAAAGGCGTGGTTTTCACTGAATTTTTATACTAATCAAATGACGTGGTTCTAATTCTTCCTCTCTAATAAAGCGAAATACTTGTTTTTCTGCTCTAATTGACCAAAACATATTAGCCTTAACTTGTAGTCCCAATATCACCCCAAGTGGACAATATTATGCCTGAAGAGAGACTCGAACCTCCACGCTCTTTAGCACGAGATTTTGAGTGACTTTCATGTCGAAAATGTATCAGTTGGTGGTAGCACCGTAAAAAGGATTTAATTGGATACAAAATTTACATTAAATTACTACATTAGGCTAAAACAAGTTAAGAGATTAAATTGACACAAGGATAAAGTTGAATGATTAAAATGACCATTTCCCTTTAATATTAACACCACTCAAAACCTGAAGAAAGCGTTACAATCAAAGTTTGGATATATGAATTACTAGATAATACCTCTAATTTCTTGTACACTACTCAAGAGGGACTTGGGAAAGAGCAATTCTACCCGTGTTTCTTTCATTATCAGGGAATGGACGGAGCGGGAGTTCATCAACTTCAATGGGAACCGTCAATTTGAGAGGGAAAGGAGAATCTTTGCCGGATTTGACTGGTAAGGTTCATCAGTTGCCCTGCTGCATCAAATATGATGGTCCGACCGCCGTCTCTCAGTACTTCAAGCCCAAACCCACTGGTATATGAAGTTATTTATAACTATTATTATTGAAATTAACATTTTAATAGAGATTAATTGGTAGCAATTTTTATCTGGTTGATTTATAAAATGATGATGATGATGATGATGATGTGATGATGATAGGGGTAGAAATTGATGGTTTGAGAGTGGAGGAAGCTTACTTCAGAGGAAAAAAATTACAGGGAAACAACCGTTCCCCTTCCTCAAGGGTACTCTGGTAATTCTAACTCTTTGCATCTATTTTCCCGTTATTTTTTTTAATATATTGAGTATATGTTGTGTCCCTAATTATTCTTGCTACAATAAGTATCATTTCAAAAAAAAAAAAATACTCATATTATTCTAGATGAAAATGCAAGGTAGTTTTGGCAGATATATGGCTAAATGTTTTTTTTCTTTAATTTTTGGATATTACGCGGAAATGAAAGGACTTTATGTAGTGTATTTGTAGATAATGTTCTTGTATTTATATCCACTGAACATATTACAAAGTGTAACAAAATTTTAGTAAAATATGAAAAGTAATGTTTGAAATCAATTAGAAGATAATGCAGAAGTATCAAATTTGGATTAGCAAATTTCGAGTTCCTCGGTCCCCAACATGAATTAGATAGAGTCACAGTTAGGCCTTGGTGCAGAGAGAAATTTACGATTCAGTAATGTGCAAGTTTATTTTGTTTCATCTATAAAAGAGGATTATCAGGAGGACAGAATAAAAGCTGAGGCTTACTGCACTATTTTGATAATTGTTGTACTAAGGAAATCTGCTGGATTGGTAGGTGGGAGATTTTGAGAGAGTTCTGGAGATTGTTGTGGCTGTCTGTTTACTGAAAGAGGAGTCAATAGTTGGAGTTAGAGCAATGCTAATGATTATCATTGTTTTGGTCTTTTGCTAATAAGTTGTTGCCTGTTGGTGATGGTTAAGAAAACTGGAATATAAAGTTCTCTGTCAAATTTGGCTTCCAAATTAGTGGCCTTTTTGGCAGCCCTGTAGCTTGGCAAGCTATCCTGTCTGCTTGCGGAAGCAGAAGATAAAGAAAAGGAGAAATGTTAGGAGTTGGTGTTACAATTGCAGAATAGATTACCCATTAATCATCTGTTATTACATTGTCCTGTAAACTGTAGCCCACTGCTGGAACTTTATTGTCTGGACATTCTGGTATATGTCAGAGAGTGTGATTGGCTAAATGCTGTGGGAGTATGAGGCTGAGGAAGTTGGTTTCTTTGTTAGCATAGCACCCATACTTTGTCCATTGGCTCTTGGCTGGATACTTTTGCTCTAAATTTACTGGAACTTTTTTGGTAAAAACCTTGTGTCCAATGTTGGTTGCAAACAAATTCACTTGCTTATGAAACATTGGAAATCACCGTCCGATATTGATTTATTTGAGAATATGACGTCCTGAATCAATGTTTCTTTATAACCTCTGCATGTTTCTAAGAGGCACCAATGGTGTGTTAGAAATGATGCTTGTTCTTGTCAGTGTCAATAATAAATCCTAAAAAACCTGCTGAATGCTCTTCAAACTTAGAAGGGATGGAAACATCACTTCAGAGAACTATCTTAGAGGGCCTTAGTCATCTTTTTTTCCAACAAACGGAATTAGTGCTTTCATATATTAAACTTGATAATACAAGAGTTAGTTACAAAAAGGGCAACTGCCCTCATATCTTTCCGAGCAATATCCATCAGCCATACCGGAAACTCATTGTTCCATCATCTGGCCACATAGTAAGTTGTCTAATATCTTACTCCCAGAATTAGATGTGTCTCTCATAATCATCTGAGTTATTTTATGTGAACTTTAGGAAGATGTGTTCCACTAAGGGCAATTGAAGTGTGAGGATTGGTTGCTGGCTTCTTCTTGTTGTAACAGCATGCATTAGTTGTTAACCAATATTTATGCGAAGATCAAAATAATCTTTTCTGTTCTGTAAAAAGGAAGCAAATCGTTGACAGCATAATCCTTAGCATAAGATGTGTGTACATCCTAATTTCCTTAGGTATGGGTTTTTGGATTTTGTTGACTTATCTCCTGCAATTGTGGGTTGAGAAGAATTAGTGTTGTTTTCTAGTAGCATCTGAGCTTTCCTCTGATAGTCTTGCCATATTAAGAAGTAGCCTTGCTGCTATTTTCCTTGTCTAATTTCGATGCCATTTCAAAACATCAGGTGCCAAGTTATGGCTTTTATATTCTGTAAAAAGTTGATCTTGGCTACTTTGGTGTTTGCAACATACAAGATTGTAGTTGACCAATGTATTCTGTAGTTTCCAAGAAAGATTTATGAAAATAGTGGTAAAGGTTGTTGTAATTACCTTTTAGATTATTGATTTAAGAAATGCAAATATCTCTTGTATGCCCACTTCTTGTGCTTATGATGAAATTGGACACTGGAATTTATGCATTTGACATTCTCTTTAACTGCTCTGAATACTCTTGGTGTTCATAATTTGCAGGGTTTGTCTTGGGAAAGACAAGTCTAGGTAAGCAAGCTAATATTCCCGAAGAAAATCCAAATTGCTGGGAAATGAAGGCAAAGTTTCAAAATGTAACAGTATGGAACCATGATAGTCTCCCTTCACAAAATGATGCTTTCTTGAGAGCTTTTCACTGGTTTGCTGTTGCAAAATCTGTAAGTGTTTTTCCTCTATTCCTGATCTTGAGAAGAATCAGCAATAAAGCTGGATACACATACATTGGTTGAGAACAGTATAGTAGTAATATACTTCTGCTTTTTCTTTTTCAAAATTTCCAATTTAGCATAGTTTTACTTACTCCATTGGACATTGTGCCTAGTTGCTGATCCAACTTGCACAAACAATTTCTTGAAAACAAGAGAAGAAGATTGCTGCAATGTTTGACCTCTTTTCCGATCTTTATATGAATGCAGCTACACCAGCCTGTCACTGCTGAAGATCTTGAATCTTCATCCATCAGTCAGAAGCTGGAGTAACCTTTCAGGTGCAAAAACATGTCTAGTTGCTCTTTCATTTTATCTTCACTGGTGCATATGATGCATGTTTAGGTTTAATTTGCAAATTGAAGAATTTCTTGGGGTAAAATCACTAATTAACAGGCGTTATTCTCTGTCCCTGCCCCAATTAGAGTGAACTTTAATGTCTTTTAGGTTAACAAGCTCGCAATTAACTTATAAAGTGCTCTCTTGTCTGCTTGTGACCTGGTTGGTTATAGATAGCGCTGACCATTCCTGGGATTTTCTTGTCATGAAAGCCTCCTTTGATGCGGAATTGACCTATGCAGTTAGTATTTTCAGTTAATATGATGTGATCTTCTGTAAGTATATTCTTACTTCTATCGTAGTTACCTTTCCTCCCAAACCTTGGGGCTTTTTAAAGCTATCTCTGAAATTGCACTAAACTTTATGAAGCTTCAATGGTGGTACTAACACATTCTATTGTTAAGGGAGTGTTAAACAGAATTGTATTGATTCCAACTGGAGGTCAATATGATCTCAGGAATAAGAAATATATTTATATATATATATATATATATATATATATATATATTTGAAAAGATCTTAGCGGAAGTAAGTTTGATTAATTTGTGTGGAAAACAAATCATGTTAGACCTCCCCACTTACTCAACACCCTCCAATCAAACAGAAGTACATATGCTCCAAAAGCCCTAGATCATGGAGTTCTTTTGGTAGAAATTTTAAGTGGAGTAATATAGGATTTAAAGAATTTTAAGATTACAAATATGATTATTCTGGTAATGAGGATTCTTTTTTAAATATTTTTGAAGGTAAATAGATGTATTAGAAGTATAATGATAAAGACAGTGAATCAGTGGCTACCTTATTTTGTGGCATCT